CATGTTCAATCTCAAATTAACCCCTTTCCATAGTTAGTCATATCAGGCAGTAGGATTTGTTTAATATCTACATACATTTTTTGGACAAATGTGTGTAGGAGGAGGAAGAAATTGGTCTGTTCCTAGCTGTAAGAATTTCTTAATTACTCTCTGGGTCTATTCCCACTCTTCCATCATTTTGTCAATGGGAATAATAAATTCAGAGTTACTAATTTGCTGTGAGATCTAAGAATGTTTAAAAAGGCAAAGGGTAGGAAGCTGGTGATGAGGGAAGCTGGCAATGAGCAAAACTGGCAAGGAAAATGGTGGCTAGCACAGGAAAAAGTAAAAACATGAAGATAAAGTACTTACATGTATTTTGTATAACTGTTAAATACATTCTTCTGTCCTTAGCTTGTGCTTTCAAAAAGGTTATCCTACAATTTTCAAATAGCATTCAGTTTACTTCAACAATTACATTTTGCATATGCAGTATTTATGACATTTTGTAGCTGTAAAGGTATGAAAACTGCCAATAACTCAGAACATAATGCTTATACTGACTATATTTTGTTGCTGTTGTTTATTTATCTCCACACAGCTTTAGTTTTCAGTATTATAAACATGCTTTACTGCAGAATTAAGGTAGCCTGGGTTGCAGGTTTTGCTTTATAAAACATACTGTTTATTTCTGTGGGACTCGACCTTGGTATAACCTCAAGTGATGCTTTTCTTCCCTCCAGATCCTCATACCAGTTAAATTTTAAGAGCAGTTGTGTTTTAAGTTCAAGTAGACTTTCACATGTGAAGTTGCTTTGCTCCTTTCAGGACTGGGCACCTGGGACACGCTCACTAGTGGGCCTGGAATTAAATTTGGGTTGGATTCTACAAAGTGAACTAACAAAGCATGGTTAAAATCACCGCTCCTCATTTTTAGTGCTTATATATAATAGCCCCTGAAAACAGCGTAACTGTGAGGTAGAATAACAGAGGGTTTAACTTTGGTGACCCTAGTTCTGTGCTTAATTATCAGTGGTAATTAAGTTGCATTGACATTTAGGTATGTATCTGAGTAATGAGGCCCCAAATATTTGTATTTTTGCAGTATTTCCTGCAGATGTTTTGACCATATAATTTACATGTGAATTGCTCAGGTGTAACAATAACAGATGCGTCATATCACTCTTTGTGGAGAGCAGTAGAGTGGACTTGACTCCTCGAGGTGGCATCATGGTTGCCCATGTCCTTCCTCTGCCCTTGTTCACAGTTACGCCACCCCCTTGATTTCTCCTGTGAACAGGAACAGTGCTTAGCCCTAACAGTGTATGGTACTCATCCCCCTTTTTTCCAGTCCATTGTTATGGTTTCTTTATTTTCAAGACTTCCTTGAAGATAAAACTTCACTGCTTGCTCCTGTCTGAAGGGTCCTCCTCAGCTAAGCCCGTTGTGGCCGTCCTTTGGTAGGGTGTCTTGCTGTTGTTTTGGTTGTGCCTGTAGAAAGCAAACCAAATTCCAGATAAAATTGTACACTGTGGTTTATCCAGTATGCTGAATTGGTAACTTCTTTTTCCACAGGTTTAAAATGAGTACACTTTACCACTCCTGTCTCCTGAGAAAGTTTTATCTTTGATGTCACCTCCGACTTTGATCTGGTTTTTGATACCTGCCAGTTGTAATGCAGCCGCCTTCCAGTCTGTAGCATCTTGACTCGTATTTCCTGTGAAATTCTTTTCCAGTGCTTGTTCATGTTTTCATCATCCGTCCTTGTCAGTAACTTCCTTTCTTGAATGTGGTGTCACAGTGTAGGTCTTCCTCACAGAGCCATAATCTTAACTTGCCATGCTATATTTGACACCATCTCTTTTTCCTTATCTTCAGTTTGATCTGCTGTTTTTCTTCCAGAAAGCTCACAGCTGTTGCTTTCTTAGCATATTGCCTTTCCTATATATTCTCTTTGTGCCTTGTAGTGTTGATTATGTAGTCGGACTCATTTATGGTAAACCCTTTGGAACTGGGTGACTGGGAGGTAATTTTTGGCTGTTACGACGGTATCTGACCTAGCACTTTTATTTGCATATGAGATACAAATGCAAAGGGAAGAAGTAAGTAAAGCATGCAAATACTTATATTTCCATAGAAAATAATAATAGCTTAGCCTAGTGTAGTCTTAGCTTTTCTTAAAGATCTGCTAATGAACTATTTTTTATGTAGTGAACTGAGATACCATCTCATTTCATCTTCTACTCTAGCAAACTTGCCTGTTTTACTTGTTGAGTCAGCTGCTTGGAGAAGAAGGTGTTGTTTGCCATGGTCACCTCACCTGCACCATGGTGTTGCATCCCCAGTATGATGGGAAGGAAGCTCTTAACTTCCTTAACTCCTCCACTGTTTGGACAGCCTGACACAAAGCAAGCGTATCTCCAATTCTAGCTCGCAGAAGTGTAACATATTTACTGTTTTCCACCCATCTTTCACAACTGTTTTGAGCTAGACCTTTGTCAGAACCTCTGTGTATCACTGAGGTGACAAGACAGTTTGTAGGGCAGTGTCCTGTTAGGCTACCCTGCTTCGCTCACTTCATAGAAATGCTGTGTCGTTCTTTGTTGGGATACTGCAAGCAGGATTAAATTGTTCTGACCAAGTCCTTTTGTTTTTGAGAGACAAGGAACTTTGATTACTCTGGACTAAAATGAGTGGGTCTTCCTCCACCCTTAAAAAAGCCCTGCTTGGGCAGGGAAAAAAGTCACAGGCTTCTGAGCTAAGTACCCAGGTACTTTCCATGGTGCAATACCTGCCTTAAACTTCATGCCCGTTCTTGGAGATAACTTGCAAAAAGCTTGTTTTCCTTTAACTGTGTTCTCTTTTAATACTGACTTGTTTGACAAAAACCATGATCATGTGAGAGCTGTTTTCCACCTTTTTTTTTTTTTTTTTTATGTTCTCTGTGACTAAAATGCAACCCTGATTACAAAGAGATGTGTGGGAATATATAAATGGCTTTAGTTGTGGAAGAGACAATAAAGGCGTGGCCAGTGGCAGTGGGGACTAATGAATGGCACCAGCACCAGGAGATCCTGTTCCATCCCTGCTAAGTACTGCTTTACCTCTCTGTGCCTCAGGTGCCACACTTGTTCAGTTGTGGCTGCTGCTGCTTCCTTCTCCTGTCAGAGAGTTATTTATTTGCTGACCAGGAAAGAAAAAAAAAATGTAGCATGAGAGTATTAATCACAGTTTGTGGGAGCCACAGGTTTGTGTTGGCCACAGGAATTTGAAGAAAAAACAGCAGGATGCTCAGCTTTTTCAGGTCATCCCAAATGAAGGGTGAGCCAGTATGGAAGGCACTGTGAGCATGATACACCTACAGGTAGTCATACCAGAAATCATCTTCCTTTGCTTTGATTTGGGTTAGACAAAGCATTATAATAATATGGGTAAATCCAAAAGCAACAGCAGCTTTTGAAGGGAATAGACAAAAAGCCATGTTAAAATTATCAGTATTGTAAGATGATATTTTCCATAAAGATAAATCTTTGTGTGAGCTGTGACAGCTTTTACTATAGGTCCAGAGACAGAGAAACTTTAAATTAAAACTTTTTCATAACGTAGTCAACTTAGTTCATAATGAAATAAAGTGAAAAATGGAAGAGGTCAAAGATACCTAAATAATTTAGCCTTACCTGCCTTTTTACTGAGGAAGAGATGATCTGAAGTTCACCTTTAATTTACATATCTTGTTCTGTTTAAGCCAGTAGAGTTTGTACTGTAGATGTTATAGAAATATTTGAGGTCAGCATGTGATGTTATGCATCCCTGTTAGTGCTAATTAGAGCAACCTGGCTATTTCCTATATGGTTTGCTGTAAACAATTACATAAGAGTAATGGCTGAAGACTTTCTAGGGCAAGTACCAATTGTCTGATACTGCTAAGGACTTCGGTGGCGATAGCACTACCAGGAAGGTCTGTGAGAAAGCCTGGGCTTGTTGCAATGAGGTCTCAAGTTCTATAATTATTATGGCAGAAACATGTCTTATAGGACTTTTCATAACAAGACAAAGAGTACAGTGATACCCTGGTTGAAATCAATAAAGTGAAATACCCTTTCATATTATGGTTGGACTTTCATGGTAGCTGCAGGGATGCCTGGAAAAGGAAAAAAAAATGTCTGCGAGTAGGAGTTACTTTTTTTCCTAGGAATTGAGGCCAGTTTCAGAACCCTTTTTTCAGACTATCAGGATGCAACCGGTTATAAGCTTGAGTGCCTGGTTGTATAGAAGCTGAGAATGAGGTATTTCAGTTTTGAGCTCCTTGCCCTACATTAGCAAATCTTCTCATTCTTGGATGCAAGGGTGCTTGGTAGACTGGAGCCCAAAACACAGTCTTGAGTGAAAAGCAGGTTGGAGGATGTTGCTGAGTCATAGTCATATGTTTATTAGAAGATTGACCTGAAAGGTGTGAATTTTGTCACTTAAGGCCTTTGAGTGGGAGCTTTTCCATTGAGTATAGAGAGTTTTGAATCAGGCCCTCAGATGTCACTTGAAAGTTTGCCTTTCGTTTGATCTGGCATTCGTCAGTGTTTCTTCTTTGGCTTGCTTTGGTTTTGTAATTCCTGCCCTGCTATGTAAGGCTTAGATTAAAAGTTCTCAGTAGATTTTTATTGTCCTTTGAGAAAACAGCACTGTGAAGCTTCCTATTATTTTCTGCCTTTTCAGTGTGTTAAACTGCATTTCTTTTGCTGACAATGATGAGGCTTTTTTTCTGCTCTGACTTGAAGAACTTTAACACTTAGGATGAAAAGTTTCCAGAAGAAAATTTGTATCTACGTGTTTTGCCAGTTATAAAAATGCTTTTAAATGCCTTTTATGCACAAATAGTTGTGGTAAAAAAGGATTTATGTTTTCATGGAGATAGATGTTTTGGAGTAACACCAAGAACTACAATCCAGGACTGTGTTAACAGAAATCTGTGCCAAAGCAGAGCCTACCAGTTTCTGTTTCCATACCCTGTTTCAAGTAAGGGCAAATTTAAGTTATTCTGCATTATATCTTGATGTTGATCCCATTCAAGCTATGCTTTATTTAAACGGAAGAAGTCTTAAGCTCTTAGATACGATTAAGAGCGGATTAACAAGAATGCAATGAAAACTAAAGCACTTTGGAGCAACACATTGAACAAATGTAAGGAATAACACAAGAAAATTTCCGATTTCTTAGGAAAATGCACTTTACTGTTTTATTTGTCAGTGTTGAAGCTTGGTGTTTTTTTGAATTTGAGAATGAGTGTTGTATTTTAACTCCAGCTGGCAGCGAAGCACCATGCAACCACTCGCTTATTCTCCCCCAGTGGCATGGAGGGGTTTAAGTGAGAAAACTCAGGGGTTGAGATGAAGACAGTTTAATAGGTAAAGCAAGAGCTGTGTGTGTAAGCAAAGCCTCAGGTTTCCATTCCTTCACAGGTTTGTCAGTTCAGCTGATCGTAAGGTAGCCTCTGGCATGGATCTCTACATGATCCAGGCTGGAAGTGTGTATTTAAAAGGCTTGTTTTTTTTCCCCTTGTCGTAATCTGAATGATATAATGGCCAGTTGATACCATTAATTCCAAATGTTTGAGTTTGTGCAACAGAGGAAGTAGTGACCTGTGTTGAAAAGAAAGAAATGAGCAAATCTAGGAGAAGGAAGAGCTGAAAGTTTCTCCACCTAAAAAGTTCACTTGAGCATAAGGTAAACGTTCATCATCATATGAAATAGCCCATACTTCTCGGGTGCCTGGAGATAAGGGTGTAAAGCAAATTCCATGCTTATTCCTTAGCATTACAAAATTGGGGGCATCTTCTGAACTACTGGAATAGACGAAGCTATTTTTTGATTACATAAGAAATGTGAAGTTTGTTCTTGTTGATAATGTCCTGTGTGGTACAGAAAATCTAGATAAATCAGTGAAGACATTTGCCTTGAAGTGCCGTTTACAGACCTTCATGACAAATAGTTGAAGGGTAGGTGCTTTCCGTGGTTCCCCACATCGTGTCTTGGCAGCCTGTTGGATCCCTGTGCGGATGCTTTTGCAGAGTAAGGCAATTCTTATCCTGGAGCAGTTCTGTTCATGAAGCTATTCTATGCTTTTGTGGTCATGTTCCTGCCTGGTCAAGGCCTTCTGAAATGGATTGTGCCTTTTTGCTCCTCTGCCAGAAGTTACACAACCAACAGTCAAAAGTTCAGAGGCCTTGGTACCAGGGAGGACTTTGATTTGTGAGGAAGCTCACTCCCAATAAGGAAGGATATGGATTAAAAATACCATAGTTGTTTCACTGTTTGTTTGGTTTTGGGGGTTTTTCCCTGCTCAAGAAGGGTCAGTCAGGCTTAGTGTAGTCTGCTTCAGAAATGGATTCAAGTAAACGCTAAATAGGTGGGGTTTTCCACTGGTTTAACAAGCTGCTAAGCAAATCTGGAGTTTTGCTGCTACCAACAAGAGAAATGTTGCTGCCTTCTCTTCCTCTCTGCTGTTCAATATGGCTATGCCTTCTGCCTGACACCAGCTGTGGAGCTCACAGGACCCTTCCCTGAGCTTGTTTGGCTGGTGGGAAACTGTCCACATCTTTTCTTCTCCTGGGTTAGTTTTCTCCTAGGTTAGTGAGTTGGTTTAGCTCATGTAAGGGTTTTTGGCTGCCAGAGCTGGTGCCAAGTACCCAGACAGCAACACAAATTAAAAACCTAGTGTGGGTAGGCTTGTCCCCTTTTGATAGTAGTGATTAGTTAGATTGGTTCACCACACATCATGGAGCACTTTGCAGGTCATAGGGGAGATAGCACTCAACAGCCACCACCTTTTAGATTGGGATGAACAAAAACCAAGGTGGTGCTAGGGCAGGGTAAGAGCCTCACTGGATCTTCCTGCAGTGGTTGTGAATTCCTGCAGATGTGCTTAAGTAACACTGATGCTTATGGACAGAGAAAGCCCTTGCCACTATGTCTGAGGATTATCCAGAGTGGCTCCATGGCCCAGGTTCTCCTACGCTACAAAAAGGTGTCTGCTGATTGATTTCTGGGAAGTATTGATTCATCAGTGGGGGCTATTGTAATTGCCGTTAATGGCTGAAATTTTATGGAGAGCAAGCATGTGACGCACAGAGCACTTTCTGCTTTGTCATCCTGCCTGTGGCAGGTTGCCCAAACCAGCAAGGGAGAGGCCCCTTGCAGCACCTGCATGCAGACTCTTTCAAGTCTCTGCCAGAGGTTGCCTTTGGGGTTTGGGGCTATTATTAAAGCTTGGCACTTCTAGCACAGACCTACCTGAAAATAATTAGAGATGTTTATATAAATACCTGTGCTGGAAAACGGCTAGATTTTCATCTCATTGAAGATACAGCTTTAGGTGAACATTCCTGAGGTTGTTCAGACTTGTTACAGGAAAAAAAAATACAAGGCTTCAGTTGCTTCAGGTACATGCAGGACTGTAGCTTTGATAATATACTGAAGAAAACTGTTCTGCATTGAGAAGATTGTGACCAGCATTCAAAACCTGTGTCCCTGCTTTTCTCTTCATATGCATGTGTATGTACACAGATTAATTCCTACATCCCTTTCTCAAGCTAGAATAGGCCAGTTATTATCCATCATTAACATTATGGCATAGCAATTCTGATCTTCAAACCCCTTTACCAACATCAGCAAAGTACCCTTCTCAAGACCTTTGTAAGATAAAGGAATATTATCACCAAGTTTCAGAGAAGAAATCTTAGATGATGAAATTGCAGCACAATTTTCAGTGACTGCCTTTAGGCTTGTGTGTGTGTGTGAATGCTCCTCAGGTTTGTGGGCTCATTGCCCAAGGAATGTATACGCATTCAGTATGGCTGTTTAAGTATGTGCACGTGTCAGAGTTTGCTCATTGATGCTAGTCGTGCAGTGCAAAGTATGTATGTGATTAAGTACAAGCATGTACTGACCCATTTAGTGGAAATTCAGCTTAAGATAACTCAGAGTTATGTGGATGAAGGCAGAGATGATAATGGGTTGCAATAAAATATTAGATTTTCTTCTTTTTTTTTTTTTTTCCATGCCATATCAAATAAAGTGTCACCAGTGTTCAAGGCCAGGTTGGATGGGGCTTTGAGTAGCCTGGTCTAGTGGGAGGTGTTGGAACTTGATGAGCTTTAAGTTTCTTTCCAACCCAAGCCATTCTATGATTATATGTGTAAAGATGTACTTTTTTCCTTTCTGCTAATATGCTTAAGCTTTCCTCCAATACATATATAAAATCAGCTATGACCAGTGGGCAAACACATCTTTTGCAGACTTTCAATACATTTGTTTAGAGGATTTCATAGTATGAGCGATACTGTATGACAGGAATTAGGTGGGCAGTGCATGGAAAAGACAGTTATATCAGTAAATTGAACAGGAAGAAGTTTGCAGGGAGCTAATTGCAGGAGAAAAATAAAAGCTTTTAATTCAGTTTAAAAAGTACAATACTGAAAAAAATACAGCAGATCAGCATGAAAAAAAATCCCTTTCTGGGTAAGAAAGGTAAAAACAATAATTCTGCTTTAAGACTGAAGTTTCAGGATTAGCCCCAGCAAATCTTATTTCCTTGCTTTGTTCCAGGCATGTTGTTAGATTGGCAGAAAGTACTGAAATCCCAGCCAAGTCTTGTATGGGATTTTATTAAAGAGAAAAATATAGCAAGTCATCCTAACGTTGCAAATGACTCATCAGTAGCCTTAGGAAACGCTCCCCCGAGACAGGCATGCTGCTGAAGAGGAAACGATGCAGCTGCCCGGCCACTCCCCCAGACAGTTTCCCTTGAGGAGCACAGCCTTCATAAGGGAGGTCTCTCCAGACACTACGTTATTTTACTCTTTATTTCACAGAGGGAGCACAGAAGCTGCAAGAAGGGCAGCACCATGTAACGGCAGAAGGTTCACAGCCGTTTGGTTTTGTACAGGAGGAGCAAATAGAAGAGGAAGAGAAAACTTTAAAGGTAGGTAGAGGTATGCTTTAAAGTCTGATTTAGTTTTGACATTGAAAAATAATGAGAGTGTAGGCTTTCTTTTTAAAATTGTAGTTCTTGGGAGAAGAATGGAGGAGATCCATGGTCAGGATGGGATCGTGGTCATGAACGACTTTCCCCAGTAAATGGAATGTGGAACTTTTCCTTGTTGCCACTCCAGAGCAGGATTCTGGGAGGTGATTTCAAAGGGGAAGGCTGTAACGTACTTTGATCTGAACTTTAAATGTGTTTTCATTGAGAATGATTATGAAGAACTAATGAAAAATGAACCAAACAGTAGGGAATAAAAACTGAAGTTTCTTAATCCATGTGAAAACAGGAAGCATTTTTGTTAAAAAAAAAGAAGTAGCGTGATACAAGTAGTGATCGAAGCAAATTTTATGAGTAGGTGTTGTGGTTTCTCTATATGCATCATAAAGATCCCGTTCTTAGTAGTTGGGTCTAATGACTGTGTGGGACTTAGTCTGCACTTAAGTTTCACATCATGATGTTGCCACTGAGCAAACAAGGTGTGCATTGGGAAAGAATAGCACACCTTGTCTAATTCTGTGTCCCTATATGTGAGTAATGTGAAACTGCATATCATAATGCAACATGTGCTCCTTTTTGACTCTTGGTCTGCAGTAGGAAGTTTAAGCCTGGCCAATGGCCATGTTGGAAAACTAGAAAAAAGGGGAACTGAGCGCAGTGATTCAGTGGTAGGGTTATGTGTTTGGGTGGTGGAGCGAGAGAAGAGGAAGGAAGATGAGGTATTTTTGGATGTTTTCACAGCAGCCGCGGGTGTTTTCTAGGTTTTGTTTCTACTATTAACATCCTACCCAGGGTTATGAACTACTATTAAAATACGACTTTCTACAGGTAGATGCATAGCCTGAATTTCTGCTGGCATTGCTGTGTAACTTGCTGGAGGGATAGAGGATATTTGCCTGTGGTGGCAGCAGTCTCTAGGATAGATGCAACTATACTTGGAGAGAAGGAAGGAATAATCTAACTTCAGAGGAAGGCGGCAGTAGAATGGGTTAAGCACCAAGTTGCTTAATGCAAAACAAAAATAAGATTAAAATAGAAAAGAAACTTCACTGGGGTTTTGTGGGTTTTTTTGGTTTTTTTTTTTTTTCATTCCTTTTTTTTTTGCTATGACTACTTCAGTAGTACTGAATCAAGTCCTACCTAGTTAGGCAGATAGAAACACTTGAATAAAAATTGAGCAGATTTGTGGAGTGAGTAAGTATGGATTTCTTAATTTACTTTTTTGGTCCTGAAAGTTTTGTTATTATTTTAGTTGATACTCACAGATATACACCAGCTGAGGAGTCTGATTTTTACTCACTCCAGTCTTGTCCTGCAGTTGGAGAGGTGCTGAGAATTTTGTCAGCCACTCCAAAGGCTTGAAGGTCCAAAAGCCAGATAAACCAGAGGTTCACAAATTAAGTACAAAGGCTCGTTTTGAAAAGAGTATATGAAGACAGTGCAATGTTCTTCATGGCAAATAGCTGTCAAAATGCATTTTAGCACTTGTGGGTTGTTCTTCTGTGGTAGTCATGTGATTAAAAAAATTAAACCTCTTGTGAAATTGTAATGATCACACTTGATCCATTTGATGCCAAAGTTAGTTACAGTGCTAAACTAACGCACTAATAAACACAGGCGTGTTACAAAAATGTAGTTTTCAGAAATTTTCTTCTTCATCCAGTTCTATTCAGTTGGTAAGACTGATAATTGCATATTATCACAGTGTTGTATACAGTTGTCGTATTTGCCTCCTAATACATGCAGGAAGAAGGGAAAAACACTAATTAGGAAAGGCCAGGGCAGATGAAAAGAATAAAATAAATTGGCAGAATACCTGTGTCAGAAGAGATGTATCTCAACCTGGAGTACAGAGTTTGAGGAGGCACTACAGTTGCGTTGATATGGAAAACTAAGCTCTGCAAGGAAACCCAGGGATCCAACAGTCAGGAAAATTCATAGTTTAGTATCTAGTAAGTTCTGAGTGATTCAGGGATGAATTAAGAAGATGAAATTTTTAAAAACTAATTAAAAGCAGAGCTCAGAAAATTCAGATGCACTTATGTTCCCTTAGCACAATATTTGCTGATGAAAATACTAGTTTTTGAGCTCTGTAGGTAGTGTTTCATTGTTCCCTAAGCCTTTTTATTTTCCATGTTCCAGGCACATAAGGAAGGCAGTCTTCGAAAACAGCAAGAAATGAATGGGCATACGGCGGTGCCGCATTCCTACGACTATGATCTCATTGTCATTGGTGGGGGCTCTGGTGGTCTGGCAGCTGCCAAGGTATGAGAAAGAAAATACAGATTTATACTTGCCTTATAAGTAGGTGGATTACATCCTCAACATCTTGGATCTGGGTATCTTTAACACTGTAGAGACATAATGTTTCTACATGATCAGTGGGATTTCTTTTGAAGTTAGCCCCATTTTTACAATGGTATTTTCCTTATGTTTTGGAGCAGGAAAGTATAAAAATGGTATACTTCTTAATAGAATGAAACTTTGTCCCCGCTAATGGGAAATGATGCTATTGGAAAACAGCAGGTAGGTATCTCAACAGTGTTTATTAGTAGTTGAATTAGAATTCAACTCATAATTGCCTATTCAAAGTTCTAGTTTTATCTGAAAGTAGTAGCTGTTCAGAAATAGTTGTGAATGTTGTTTTAATTTTTGACAATCAGGGAAATTTTGTGATTTGTGAGCTTGTATAGTTGCATAAATGGAGATTTTGCCTGTACAGAGTTAGGTTTTCCCCCTTCATTTCTAGGGCCTGGTACTTCCTGTCTGTAGCCAAATAATTTATGATTCTCAGGGTATTGCTTTTAGAAGCATATTCAGAATTAATTAAGAGAATCCAGAATGGTGCAGAATATACCAGTTCTTAGGGTTGTCATTATCCCAGATACTTGAAACTTGCTGAAATTTAATGTAAGTAACTTTCCTTTACATCAGTAGTTAGGCATATTGCACCTCTTCTTGCTGTGGTAGAATGAACTATACAGAAGTGAATTCAGTGTTCTTAGAAATAATGCTATTTTGTTGCTCAAGACCTGAGACTGGATTATTCCTCCAGACAGATAGGAGGCATTTCTTCCGTTCTGAAGAAGTGAAGGAAGTAAATTGAGGAGTGAAAGAAAATGAGGACACTATTTCAGCATAGAATTGGATTCATACCAAATCTCAGTCCCTTAGAAGAACTGTTATAATGGAAAAGTGTGGTGCTAAGTGGTGGATTTTAATATGCTATCTGTCCATGATCTATTCCAGTAATTTACTACTTTCACATCAATAGGCACACTGTTGTCATGGAGTAGGATGGAAGAGAAGATCTTCACTATGAGGGCAGTGAGACTTTGGAACAGGTTGCCCAGAGAAGCTGTGGCTGTCCCATCCCTGGCAGTGTTCAAGGCCAGGTTGGACGGGGCTTGGGAGCAACCTGCTCTAGTGGATGGTGATTGCCCAGCCCATGGCGGGGTGTATTGTAACTAGGTGATCTTTAAGGTCCTTTCCAACCCAAACCATTCTGTGATTCTGTGACCTATAAAAATTCTGGTATCCTGCAAAGAGAGGCAAACGCTGGTTTTCAGAGGATGGGGATGTTTTAGCATAGAACAGAGTAACTAGTAAAAGGGAGCTTGCAGTACTGCAAAACCAATCTGTAGTAATCAAAAGCCATCTGTTGATGTTTCCATAAGGAGACTGCTCTGCTTTGTTGTATACGTATGTTAGGTTATGCAGCTACAGCAGTGATGTTTATTGCATCATTTTTCAGCTGTGGGGCAGAAAAGGTATGTAGCTAGGAAGATAAATTGCCTTATTGCTTCAATTCAGAGTTTAAAGTGTATTGCTTATTAGTGTTCTCAAGTGATTGTAGAGTAGAGCAGGAGATGGTAGAGTAATAAAGTCACTCTAAGAATAATATGTGTATTTCAAATCAATTTCACGAAGCTGAAGTCAAACTGATTTGCACCTGTAAACTTGTGACTTACTCAAATCTTTTTTGTGAATTAACTGTGCTTTGAAAAGCAAAACAAAATGGGGGGAAAAAACCCCAACAACTGCACAACTCTTATACCAAGTTCCAAATATCTACAGTGATGTGTGCAGCAGTTTATCTAGGTTGATTAAATGTGCGCTTTTCAGTATGACACGTGCAGCTTTGTGTGCATGTCTTCCTTTTCCTCTCTATATTGTGCTCAAGGTTGTTATTTTGGAGGCGTGTCTCCACAGTGAGTGCAAATGTCGCCAAGCTGACTTTGTGCAGTCCACTGCAGATGCAGGCCGAAGTGTGAGGCTCTTACTATCAGTTCACACAGGACATCTTCAGCCTTAAGCAATCTTCTTGTGCTCATGCAGCACTGCACTTAACCCAGTAAGGTTTGAAAGCCTGCAGGGCAGGTTTTGTTACTGTGGGCGTATCATTCTGCAGAAGTGGTTGTATCTGCTTGTGATCTCTGCTGAGGTGGCAAAACAATGCTGTGTTGTACTATGTGAACGTATAGCTGAGTGTAAGCTTGGGAATCCATTCATTCTACTTAGTTAACACTAGTAAAGCTCTTCTGAGCTGTGTGTAAGAGTTGTC